ACCTCTGTCGCTCTGCAGGAGTCGCTCCTGCACGTCCCAAGGTTGGTGACACCCTGGGCGAAGCATGTTGAAGGTGACATGAAAAGGGAATTGAGATATTTCCAAGACTGGGAATTCCTTTTTAATGTTGTAGGGTGAAAGAGAAAAATTTCAGGCTACAGAAGAGCTGTTGTTCTGCAGGGAGGGGGGAAGGGAACTACTTTACTGCTTTTCTCACCCTGCTTCTTCCTGTGGCCAAACCTGGGATGTGTTGCAAATGTTTGTGCGTGACGCAGGAGCAAATGCTGCATATGGGGTTTTTTTGGTCTGTTACGTGCACTGGGCTGTGACTGGGGCTGTGTTTATGCCATGATGCACCAGGAACGGGCAGGTCATGTCCCACAGGGGGGAGGATGGTATGAGATGGAGGTTTGTGGCTGTGGCGTAAGTGATTCAGGGGAACCAAACCACCGTAGCCAGGGAGCACAGGGCATCATGTGAAATGATAACGTAGCAGTACTTGTTTTGAAAACCTGAACAGTGTATGTGAAACGTGATTATTTTGTTGTTGTTGTTTTGGGGGTTTTTTGTGGTGGTGTTGTGGGTTTGGTTTTTTGGGGTTTTTTTGTTTTTTTTAAACTAGAAGTGTGATGTCCAGATGACTTGAAACCAATGATGAGGTAAAAACTTTCAGACGTGGAAGCAAGCTACAGAACAAAGTGTCTGTCCTGCTTTTTTGCTCCCTCTGCCAAACTCCTAGGTTTTATTTGCTCCCTCTCTCTCAAGACCCTGAGATGCCACTGACTTTTCTATTGCTAATTTCTATTTAATATCTCACAATTTTAAAGGTGTCCTGATCAAGGCCGTCTGCGTAGCAGATGAGCGGAGTCTTGCACGGTGGAGCACTCTCACTGCCCGTTACAAAGGCTGCCTCCTTCGCTGTGCCAGCCAGATCCTTCTCTGTGGTCTACAAATTGCCAAAGCCACAGGTTAGTCTTCCACTTCATTCAAATCTTGCATCCTTTCTTTAAAAAACTGCCAAGGACAAACCCTGTCGTAAGGCTCAGAAACATTTCTCTTCCTGACAAATCATTTCAGATCGGGTTTTCAGAGGTGCTTAATGAAGCCAGGTATTCAATTATAATTAAAAGTCCGTAAGAATTAGGTGCCTACTTGAAGTCCCTTCTGGAAAGCCTATCTCTAATAAATTACAAGGTAAACAATGGCCACTCATTCCTAATGGCATTAATCAAATAAGGGCTGGCAGTCACTTGTTAAGTGGAAATATGTGGTTATGCTGGACTCATTACAATGCCACGCTGCTCCATCCACAGCTTTTATTGATGGCAAAGGTACCATGGCTGACCTACTGCAAAGCCAGATTGAAAACAAAACAAAATCCTCAGGCACTGCACTTGCATCTCCCTGGTCCGAGGAGGGGGATATTTTCTCTTGCAAAGGGCAATGGCTGTTTTCCGTGTCAACATTTGTGTAGGTAACTCCTCCACTCATCTTTTGGAAAGCAATGCTTATATAACTGACTTAAACACAAGCTTATGTTGCCTTTTAAAACATGCTGAAGTGTGTAGGAAGAGAAGTCCTTTCCTCTCTGACATGTTCTGCTCCCTTGGAAGATTACTTCTCTGCAAATTTGATCCCAAACTACATTTCAGAGGTGAAATTGAAGCTCGACTCTGCTTTGTTCTTGCTAGGGGCTGATCTCCCTGCCCGTGCTCACCTGGCCATCTGTGCCGTCCCTTGCCCCGGCTCTGTCCGCTTCATCCTTAAAGCCCATCTTCTCCATAGCACACAGACCCCCTCTCCCTTCCTCGGGGCCTCACTCGCACCAGGTAGGAAGGGAAAACTGCCACGGAGCCGTGTTTGGACCAAAACGTGCTGGGGTGACCAAGGTGACCGGGGTTGCCTGGACACCGGTTCTGAGTTCCGTCAACCACGGAGACTGCTGGGGCCCTCCGGCCCCACAACACTGTGGCCCTCCAGGGCAGAGTCACCTCTCCCCATCAGTTTTGCCATTCACTTGTGGTCCTAAAGAAATAGGCAGAAACCCCTGGATTTTCCCTTTGCTGGTAGTGGTCAAGATGTTCAATGCTGTCAATGGCTCCTGTGGGCGATGGGAGGGAAGGGTCCCTTGCTTTGCTTTGTTTGCACCTGTGGGAGCTTGGTGTGGGGCTCTTGGCTGGTGCTAGGTTTGCACCTGCAGCAATTCCAGCACCTGTACCTGTGCATCAGTCTGGATTATTCTGGCCTCTGAAGGTGGTGCAAAGTGCAGCTCTTCCCAAGTCAGATGTATGGCTCTGTGCTGCATTGGCTATCTGCAAGCGCGGGTGCAGCAATACTGATTTTCCTCCACGGCTTGTGCACTAGCAAGTTCAAGACAGGCCTTTCTCCAGCTCTCCCACCACAGCTGCTGAGCTATGCTGTGGGGAAGCACCGGCCCCGAGGCAGGGGCCAGAAAGCCTGGCTCACATGGGGCCAGGGATGATGTCTGTAACGGAGGCAGTCCCATTTGATGGGAAACAGAGGTGCCACCAGGAAAAGAGATCCTGGGCTGCGCCCTAGGTGTTTTTCAGGGAGCTGGTTGGAGTTGAGACCTCAACTCCGATCACAGTGTGATGGAAATTCAGGGTTACCTCCTTCACAGATGGCGGTGAAAGCCAACAGCAGTGAGATCTCACTCTCCTGGGTAACATCTCTTTAAAAGCTCTCCTTTTTAGAAAGAATAAATTTCGCTTGCCAGGAAGAAGTCTGGAAAGGCTTGGAGTTAAAGGGACTTTATTTTGGAAATTTCCTTCAAGGCAAAACGCTTTCACAAAGAAAAATGTGTCGGGCTCCCGTCATGCCATGACCAGTCAGACAAGTGCAATTGTTTTGTCCCTTGGACAATTAGTGTAATTGCCGCAGCTGTGATTCAGCTGTGCTCCTGTGCCAGGTCGCTTCTGGCACCGGGAGTCATCTCGAGGGCTGTACAAAGGCCCCCTCTCTCTGAGGTTCCCCCGGGCACGGCTGTGCGGAGGGACTGGCACTGCTCTTGGCAGAAGTTCGGATAGTTTTGGTCAAGCATTTCTCTGTGCATCCATCGATGCTGAGCACCCGCCGAGCCAAATGCCTGGTGCAGGTAGTAGCCTTGTGAAGTACCTATTGATGGGTCTTGAATCAGAGACAGGTTCTTATTTTCAGGCTGTCTTAGGGAAGTTTGGCCTTTACCCATGATTGAATTCAATGGTGACAAAAATCCATTAAGACAACACGTCTCCTTAAGATGTTTGTGGCATTTTCCCTCCTGTGTCTGCGTTCTGCCTCCTCCACGTCTAAAATTCTTCTGTCAGCTCTCTGTTACAGGAGCCTTGCACAGGCTGGTGCTGAGCAGACACAAAGACAATTACCTTCTAACGCTTTGCAGTTAGGTTTGCTTATGACCATCTGAGGTATGTTACAACTTGTTTAGCCTGCACTACGATTTTACAGTATGTTATATGTTACTTAACACAAGGTAAGCTATGCAGAGTGAAGCAGTGGTGGTAGCACGGATAAGTGTACCTATGCTAGCTTCAGCCTGGTTTTTGCAAGGACTATGTTAGAGGTGGTTTGGTTGAAGGGGATGTTGAAAATGCAGCTGGTTTCTCAATGCCTGTTACCAACTGCCCTCTTGCTGTGTTTGCTGCCTGCAGTCATGACAGCTGTCCCCAGTGTGGCAGGCAGCTCCTCTCCTTTTCACCTCCAGAGGTTTAAACCAAGGAGTAACCAGTTTATGCTCTTACCTCTCAAGTCAGGGTATCGAAGGGTAGCATGTTCCTGGCTAACAGGAGCACAAGAGAAATGAAGCTGGTTCAGCACAAGCTTTCACACACATCAGCAGCTAGATTAAAAGCCATTTAGGAGCTCTACGGACATACGCTGGTTGTTAGCATAGGCATAACCTGTATTTGCATGGCCATATCTGTGTCCTTGTGAGATTACAGCTTCCACAGAGCATGTGACTACAGCATGGAGCGGCCCTCTTGGCTTATCAGGTGTACACTTCACTGTTTCGGAGGATGGAGAAGGCCTTGAGTTCACCTTGAAAATCCCTGTCTTTGTTCTTCTACCTTTCAGCGTACGCTGCTCCCAGAGCTCAGACAAAGTGATAAATATACAAGCAGGAGGTACAGGTGGACTTCCCTGGCCTGTCTTCATCTGAGGATCTTGCTCTATTTAGTTGCTGTCCATTAACCTGGTATGCAAGGGAGCAGTCTTGGTAGTCTTCTCTGGCGCTACTCGGTACAGTAGCAGAGCAGGAGACCGGACAGCTGAGGTTGCAAAACGCCTTTTTTCGTTGCTGAACCATATAGTAATGTTCAAAGCTGTGCTCTGACCACTGGAGCTATAAACCTTCCCTCTCTTTTGAATTTTTTTGGTAGCACTGAGTCAGATTTCAGTTCATTTTGTTCATCATGTAAGGTCTTGTGGACAAGTCCGCTCCTGCGAGATCAGGCATGAGACATGCCTTTGAGTCCTCAGACGTCTGTGGCTGTATCCCTTCCCCCTGCCCCCCTGGAAGACAACATTACTTCTACTTTGAAGCCTGTCACGTTGGAAGATGGCATAACCCAGACCACATTTATGTAAATCTGTCAGATTATATTGCTTACTTAAGGGCAGGAGTCCTTTCAAACAATGTTCTAATTGGATGGAGAAAAGTCAGGAGTACAAACGGATTATGCATCTTATATTTCTCCCTGTGAAGGAAAAGGAGCCTAAGTGCCAGTCAAACACACTGACTGTAACAGTGCACCTTAGGGAAAACTTTTCCTTTTCCCCGACAGCTCTTTTGTGAATATTAATTTCTACTATTTGAGTGTCTTAGTCTTCCAGGAGCTGTGGAAGTGCAAACATTAACCAACTTCTCTAGTACAGCAGCTCTTCCAGTGCAAGAGTAAGCATGTAGCCAAAAAGGAAACAGCTGTGAAGATGCTCTGTTTATGCTGCTGTTTGCTGTTTTAGGCAGATTTACCATGAATACCACGTGTGATGTGATGAGTCAGGTTGCATATAATATACGCAGGTGTCTGATGCAATATTTATTTACTAGTAGGTCACAGGGAAGGAGAGCTGATAAACGCAGATATGTATAGAGGTACTTTACATTATACTTAAACCAACTGCATGTACACGTGGTTTAGTTAAACATAAAAACCAAACATCATTGTCAGATGTATTGCAACATAATATTAAATAGGAATTGTAATGAGGAATGTTTCTCAGCAACTTGTTCCTACCAGGAGGGTGGTGAACGCTTCATTTGATAGAGTGATTAATGATACTCGGCGCAACCGCTCAGACTGTAGGGGCGGAGGCTTTGCTAATTGGATCTGGAAATTCCTGGTGCTTAAGGATGATGAAAACTTTCATAGTCAACTGGAGACCTGTCTTCTCCCTGCAGTTGGATGCCAATAAATACAGTTCAAGTTAATAAATCTTGTATTGGGGGAAGAGATCTGAAAGAGAATTTGGACCTAGTTATGTGGCATTATTAGAGGCATCTTAATATACCATAGGAGTCCCTGTTTGCTAAGTGTTGGGAGTTGCTCATTTAATCACTTGTTTGAACTAATGCGGTAAAGAACACAAACACAATTTGTGACCAGTGGTGTGTAGAAGCCACAGATACATCTGCATCAATTTTATCCACTTAATCTCTTCTTGCAAAATCTGATCAGTTGTGGGCCAAGTATTCCCCTACTGGAAGACACAGCTAGCCAAACCTTCTATGGTGCCCAAAGCTACTAGTGACTAACCTCGCATGCTGGACACCTCCTTGTCAATAGATGTATCTTCAGGTGTTTCTACATTACTTAACACTTCAACAGTTTTGCAGATGTTTGTCTTTAGCTTTTCAGCCAGATGTTAGTGAGCTTATTAATGATGTTTGCTAATGTCATATAACTATTTTTTAAGCTGTTTGAAGTCCTCAGGAACTGAAAGAGCATTATCAGCTTCCTCCATACTTTGCAACTTGCAGCCTGTGAGAAACAGGATAGTTAAAGGCTTTCCTTCTTATTGTGCTTCAGAAGTTTTCAAGTTTTCATGTAAACTGAAATAGGCATTGTTAATGAGATGTTAATAAGCCCATCCCTTTGCTGCTGCTTATAAAATCAAATCTGTACAGCCGCAAGCTGCGCCAACGGCCTCAAGCTGTGCCAGGGAAAGTTTAGGTTGGATATTAGGAAAAACTTCTTCACCGAAAGGGCGGTCAGGCACTGGCCCAGGCTGCCCAGGGAAGTGGTTGAGTCCTCATCCCTGGAGGTATTTAAAAGATGGGTAGACATGTTGCTTGAGGACATGGTTTAGTGGTGGACTTGGCAGTGACAGGTTAACAGTTGGACTTGATGATCTTAAGGGTCTTTTCCAACCTTAACGATTCTATGATCCTATGATTCTATAAATTGGATATCTCTTAATATGGAAAATTAACTACTTTTGTTAATCTTTTGGATCATGTAATACAAACTGCAGTAGATGAAATCTGCCTTGTTCCCTTCCCCCTCCCTAACAAATTTACCCACCATCTTAGTAACTAATAGAAGCAGCCTGGAAAATGATGAGACTGGTATGCCTGTGCCAAAAGGTCAGCTCTGCCTGGGGAATGCGGCAGGGGTTTGCATGGGATTAGCAAGATGTGCAGAGAGGCACTGAATGCATAACCCAAATAGGAGCCACAACGTAGAGGTAGGGAGTAAAAAAAAGAAATGAGGGAGAAGTGGGAGAACTAAGTATTGCTTGGGAGGGAAAAAAGGGCTTGAAATC